CAGCTGATTGAGGTTGCTTGTATCAAATAAATGACTTAAAAAGTAGAGAAAGGGTTAAAAATTGTCTTCATATGCCTGACCCAAAATTACAGTCCAGCACCTGTAAAATCTTGAGTGACTTCAGCTGCAATGAATAGCCCCTGATAATGCTGTAGAAAACTGTGAGGGAGAACAGGCAAGTCTGTCTTTGAATTTATTTTGTTTCCTGGTTTGTGTGTTTTGTAAGTTTTCTCTTTAAGCTTTTTTTCTCGTTTTCTTTTGTATTTTTAAATGGCTTAGTGTACTATGTTTAAGAAAAGTAGATTTCTTCTCCTGACCAATACGAGCAGGTGAGTCTTTCTCAGAGCACAGCTCATGACTTCCTTATTTTAAAGGTATATTGAATTGTCTCCATGGAGGTGCACTATTATTGTAATTAATTTTTTTTATTGTTGTTCCTACCTTATATCTGCCTTGAAAGCAATTTTTTGTAATCCCGAATAAATCAACAAGTAACCTAAGATATGTATGGCAGGAAGTGATAGTAGTGTGTCTTGCTGTCTGTAGTGCTGAAGGGAGGACTTATTCTTCTCTTTAAACTTCATGGGCACGTCTAATAAGAGGCTGAAATTTTTTTTTACATAAAGCTACCGTTCAAAAACACTGTAGTGGACAGAGATATGCATATATAGACATATAACATGCTATGAACATTATTGTATGTTAAGCGTTACACATTTTATAGAAGTACATGTTCCTGAAGTATCTCAGTTCTCCAAACTCTGTTTACCCTTGTGTTCCTATGTAAGGTGATTAGAAGAGTTGATTGCTCATATGCCTGGCTATATACAAAGGATTTTAATAGGAGGAAATAAGATTGTATCCAAGCACAGGAAGTTGGTATCCTTGAATGAGTTTTCCCATTTACTAAGCAATTTTTTTTTTTTTTTGTGAGAAGTGTGGCAGTGCCTTGTAGTAATTTCAGAAGAAACAGTAGTTCACTTCTGTTGTAAATTTCAGCATACAGAAATAAGGGTTTTTGTAGCCATCACTATTTCTTGCTCCTAAGACATCTTCCAACAGACGTACAGGTGGGCGTTTGTTTGTGAGGGGGTGTTGTGCTGTGTTGGTGTGGTGGTCTCATACAAAGGTGATGTATGAACTCCTGTGGACACACTAATTGTGTGTTGAGTACTGCTGAGTAAAGCTGGTGATCTGTTATCTTTTATAGGTCATGCATGGGGACTTGAAGAGCAGAACAGCTCAGTATATGTGAACTTATATTTCCCATGTGCAGTAGTGTTAAAGGTAATTTGGATGATGGAGCGCCTTGCAGTGCATGGATGTTGTTGACTATACAGTCAGCATGCATTAGATAGACTTACTGCCTGACTCAATCCAGGTATTACCAGCACCTATGCGACTCTTGGGAGAGTCTCTCTGCATAGCTCTTCAGCTTCCAGGAGATTTTATTAGTTTGGACTCCGTGCTGTGTGCATCTACAGCGCAGCTTCTGGTCCAACTCTGGAGCTAATCTATTTTGTGGCGTTAGGTGATTATGTGTCTTTCTCCCCAGTGCACTGCATTCCCTGAATGCTTTGCAGGTCTTATTAGCTCTAAAACATCCCATTCAAAATAATTCAGAGACTGAACAACTGCATTCTCATCCAGCAGTCTCTGGTCAAATAAACTGAACCAGATATTCTCTGGCTGTGTAATCAGATTCCTTCCTTCCCCTGGGCATACCTCAGCATTGGTACAGTGATGGTGATGTGTGCGTGAGGGTGTGCAGCCAACATGTTTCTAACATTAGAGATCAGATGAACGATTTCATTTCTAGTGTGCTATGAGTCCCAGGTTGTGCTCTCGCTTTGAGCAATGCAAAGGAGTTGGTGTGGCAGTAATGTTTTGACCTCTCCAAAAAATCTTTTTACATAAACTTAGCAAATTTTGTTTATGATCTTCTTTTCTATCAATTTTTATTTTACTGGAATAAATGTCTTAACGTTTTTCAAGATATTTCTTAAAAAAATGAGGAACACTGCTGCATGTAGAGTTAATCTCTTGATAGGGTCAAGATTTATGGTGATATGGAGATGAAAGGCTGCCATAGGTAAAAGTCTTATGCGAGCACAGGGAATTTCTGTATTGCTCTTGTGATTTATTATTATTATTTTTTTTAATTTTTTCCTGTGTGAAGACGCTGCTGCCAGACTGGTTCCCTAAAACACATTTAGCCACTGCATTGAAGTTCTGCTTGAGGGCACTACGTTAGAGCTTGCCCTGCCCTGTGCTGGCATTACCAGTGCTTGCTTCACTTTGCACTTGATGTTTATTTCTGTGTCATTGGGTTTACTGGTAGATGAGGATAAAATCAAGTTCCTATAAAATGATGCATGAGGAGCTGTTCCCCTACATTTCATTCGTGCTTGGCACTTCCCATCAAATTGAAGGAAAAAGGGCTTATTAATGACCATGCAGAGTTTTTTTTGTTTGTTTGTTAAAATAGCTTTGAATGCTTCAGTGTTTCTTTTATGAGGTTTAGAAGAATCTTGTCCTGTAGTTTGATACTACTATATTAAGAACTTTCTTAACAAACTTTCTCTCAGCCCCGGGAAGAGAAATTAGTGTAATTGGGATTTTTCCTAGGTTGTTGGTGGTGTACTGGTACGTAGTAATTGTGACTATATTAAGTGTGTAAGTTATCTAAGTTTATAAGGGCTGATCTAGTCTTCGGTGAATATTGATTTGTGATCTGTTTACATACTGTGTGTGGTGTTGAAGAGAAACAATACCCGTGTTCCCCTGAGGGTCAAACTGTGAATAAAATGACTTTGGCAGAACTTACAACCCGAAGCAAGTCTTAGGAAGTGATGGAAATGGTCGTGGAGTCCCATAGCTTGAGCCAAAACAGTTTGTTATTACCTCAGATTCTCGTAATTATCAGTACTTACACCTCTTTGACTCACCAGCTGTAAGCCCAGTTTGACAGTAATACTGTATGCTTGCAGTATACTAAGGACAGCATCACGTGCTTGTCATGTACAGGAGCACTAATGTGTGGATGAGTTGTTTTGAAAATCAAGCTTATGCATGAGTTGAGGCAAACTTACAATGACCTAATGGTACTGGTCTTTGACAGGAGGCTCTGGTTTGCTTACTGCTGCAATATGAAAAAAATCAACTCTTCATTTCTAACAGTACTGTGTTAAAATTTTACAGCATGTTTAGACCAACATGAAATGTTTTCTGTCCTTGAACAGCAGGTTGTAATGTGAAGCTGTATTCTCACAAATATTTTTTTCATTGTATTTTAAGACTTTTTTCTCTATAAAATACATATATTTAACTGAAAATGTGAATTTACTGGGGGTGAAGTTGCACACTCTCAGCTTTAAAGAGAAGGCAAGCTTGATTCAATATAGAAGTGTGAAATTTCACACCACTAAAGGAATTCAGTTGGAAAACTCCTATATATACTTTCCCAAATACAGACGAGTGCTTCGTGTTTCCTATGTTTATGTTTAGTGTTTCATTTACTGGTTTATTCAAAATTAAATTGCTTACTTGGTGAAAGTGATGTGAAATAACCAACTTCTGTATCTGCTTACGTCAGCAAGCAGCATGCCTAATGCATACATGTTTAGGCTTTGTAAGCAAGCTTGCATATCCAGCCTTTGATCTGTCGTAGGTGTCAGAAAGAGGAGTAAATAATTCCCCTTTCCCTTACTGCTGCTTTCTCTAGCAAGACTTGTTCATATGGTAGCCATATGAAGCCTGCGCTTCTAACTCCACAAGGTTACAGTGATCTCTGAGGAAGGCCTTTCAATTCAAAAAGAATTTTGACTTCTGAGAGCAAAATAACTCAGTTGCAAGGAAACTGGACACCAGATATTGAGTGCTAAGTATCAGTAGGTTCTGAAAGTTCCGGTTTTCTTCTGTGATCAAAATTCTAGCAAATAGACATCTGTTATCAAGGTGAAATTGAAGTTAGATTGGGAAGAAGGGAGGGAAGAAGACAATACAAAGGCACATGGAAGAAGCCATCTCCCTGTTTAGAGTGGTGTAGCTGTATGAAATTGTAATGCCCACTTCAGTATGCAAATAACATTCATTAGGACTGTGAAGGCAAGTAACTGTTTTTGTTGTCGATGGAAAAAAACAAAAACAAAAAAAACACTGAGAGGAAAAAAGAAACCATTGCCAATAAAACTTCTTTTAGGTATTGCAGGGCTGTGTTTTACCAAGGAGAGAAAGTTTGGGTGTGTTGGTTTGGGTGTTTTTTTTCTTGTAGCTATTGAGCTGGAAGAATTTGTAATGTGGCAGATTTCTTCAAAATTGATAATATTTGCTCATCAGCATAAATTTTTTTTCCAAAGTGAAATGGGCTAGTGTATGAACACTTCTATTCTTCCAGAAATGAGTCAGAGAACAGCTTAAAGGTAGTAATTCAAAACTCCAAGTGTTTGTCTGGTCATCTGTGTTTTCATATGTTCTTCAACACTGCTCGTATTTTCAAAGTGGAGATTTAAGAAATGTCTGAATGAATAAAATTGTCATGTGTGCATACTGGAGAAATAATAGCTAATCTGGAAATGAACTCATTTATTCAGGTTATTTAAATTACTGTGCTGTGATGTTTGTAAAGCAAACAAGAAATCCAGATAACTCCTGCTAATTATTCCTCAGAGCACTGCAAGCTGAATATGGGAGCCATACGTTTCACTACTGGAAGGCATCCAGAGCAAAACTGAAGATAAAGAAATGTGTACTCATCCATATTAAAACATTCAAACTTTCTGGTGACTGTCACTCGACTCCCTACCTCAAGAATGTAGGCAGGTGGTCTACAGATGGCTCGATCTGTTTAGCTCATCTATGATTAACGTACCTAAAGCAATCTGTGTTGAATTCATAACATAAGCTTTAATACAATAGGAGCTTCTTGTGTTTATGCATAATAGAATAAGCTTTTAAAATGAGATGGCAATGTAATTTTTGTTCTGATTCTAACATTTTAGGCGTCTGAACAAGAACAAATTGCAAGTTCTTCCAGAGCTCCTTTTTCAGAACACGCAGAAGTTAACTAGATTGTAAGTATAATCCAATTTATATTTCTATTGAATGTTTCTTATCCTTCCATGGATTTGCATGTTTGTATTTTGACTGTGGTGAGAGGTATCATGGTATTAAAACTGCTAGGTTGTAAAGGTTTTTAGGGTGCTGTGTTTTCTTTGCGTGTACCAGTAGTTCAGTAGGTCATAAATACGAAAGGGATTTCAAGAAGAATTGTTCTCAACTCTCTCTGTATAGTTATAGAAATTGTGAAAAGTGGCAGCTTTTCATCTGTTATAGTCTAGATGCCCATGAGAAGGCTGCATACTTCTGTTATCTAAAAACATGTTGACATAGTGCAGGTTTTTATTTTTTTCTAAATATTTTTATCGTCTTACTGAAATAAAACCAAACACCTGTGTTAGATGTTTTAATGGCAGCAGTGTCAGCCTAAACAGAGAGAAGACAAACGTGAGCTTTGCATCATTGTTTTTTGAAGGGAAAAGGGAAATGTTAATACAGGTACCTGTTGGAGGAAAAGGAAGAGTGTATAGAAATCAGATGGATGAGGAGGTGCCTGCACTGTCACTAGCGAGAGAAGGATAATCTGCCTTTTGAAAGAAGTAGTCAAAAGCTGTTTGAAAGAAACTTTGCTAGGATCTAAGAAGTAAGCTTATGATCCAATCTGTTTTTCTGAAGAATGAGTTACATTTTAAAACTTCTGTTTTAGGCTTGTTTGTTTATGGAACATGTTTGTAAGGTCTAGGATTTGATTAGTGACATTGCAAAGTTACTGTAGAGTGGCTGAAAAATTGCTGCATCCATGTGGATGCATTCTAATACCTTCAGTATGTTACCAAACAAACCATTGAAGCAGTATGGTACACTTTTCCTCCTCTGGAAAAGCAAAATGTGTGGTGATGGTGAAGATGAATTTTGAGATCAGTTGTACGTAAAGCATGTCTCCTTGCTGAAGGTTTGAAAGCAGACAAGTTGAGCAGCATTGTGCAGTGACAGGTATTGGCTCAGATCTGGAGAATTTCTCTAATGAATCTTGGTGTCAGAACTTGAGAAATTTACTGTACAAACAAGTGAACCATGTTCTGGAGAGAATAAATTAAAAAAAAATTACAAGGTAAAGCTTTCCTTTGGTCTCAAAATTTGGATTTTTGAATAATTCAGCTTTTTCCTACCTTTTAAGCGCACTGGAATATATTTGCCTAACAGATTTGCTAAGAATGAATAATTTAGTTTTATTTCCTAATGGTCTTTGCTTATTTCTAAAATTCTCTATATTTAAACTTCTCTTGAGTGTAAAGCATGAGCTGGTACATACTTGTGGATATCATTATCAGCTCTCCAGAAGATGCTGGCTGTATTTATTTTATAAAACACTTGCTTCATGGAGATTTCCTAAGGTGATGGTGACGCTTTAAAGTTTAAAATAAAACAATAAAAAAAGAACGACAGAGTTGACACATATCCACTAATATGAATTCCTTCTGAGCAACTTCATCTGTGAGTAATATGACTATTATAACATTGAGAAACTTTCTGGTTGTATGGTTTCAAAGGGAAGTTGGTTGTTGATCACTTGTGTTGATCTGTTTTAAGGAGTTTAGCACAAAAAAATCGACGTGGAAGTAATTCTCCTTTTCCAATACCAGAGTGTATTTCTTATTAGATTGTGTAATCATGATACATTATAGTCTTTAATAGCAAGAGTAATAATTCTGCTTTTAGCATAAAAAGATTGTAATAAAATTGCATAAAATACAAATATTAATCTGAGTGCTGTATTCTGTAATGCTTCCCAATGGAAGTGCCTTCATTCACTGCTGTTCATTCAAAGTCTTGTTGCCATTTAATAGTGTTTAAGATGGATTGCTGTTGCAGTGTTTGTGAGTAGAAATTTGCTTTTTCTTTTGAAGATACAAGAGTTCAAATATAATGTAGATTTAAGTAAAACAGATCTTAGTAATTTGAATAGTTATGATTCCAAATGCAGTTGGATTGTATGTTTTTCATTGATGAAATGAGTGATTTGCTACTTACAAGAATGGGTTTTAGACAGATGTAGACATACATATGTGTATATATTTGGACATTGTGGAAACTATACAGCTAAGATCATAGAATGATTTGAGTTGGAATGGAAGATGATCGAGTTCCACCCCCCTGCTACAGGCAGGGACACCTCCCTCTAGACCAGGTTGCTCACAGCCCATCCAGCCTGGCCTGAAACGCCTCCCTGGAGGGGGGCATCCACAGCCTCTCTGGGCAACCCGTTGCAGTGTGTCACCTCACAATAAAGAACTTCTTCCTAATACCTATTTTAAATCTACCTTCATGAAGTTTTGTGTCAACGGAGTATCTTCAGTTTTGTTGCTGCTGGAAATTGAATTATAGATCACTGTTTTCCTGTCAGTGATGTGATTGAAAGACTGGAGTAGAAATCTGTCTGGATACTCTCTTTTCTTCTGCAGGCACGCACTTTGTGTAGTTTAGGACAGCTGTCCATTTGGCCCTGTTGGTTTCTTCATTTGTCACCAGAGTGCACTGAGGTCACTGTGCATCGTCACTGAGATGTTGTCTTTATGATAATTAATACAATTTGAGTGAGGAAGTAGGTACTAACTTAGAAGGCTTCTAAATTAATCTCTGCACTTCAGGTACCTTTGTTTTTTTTTTCTACAACTTTTTCCCAAAGTTCCAACATACACGATATCCTTCCATCTTTTACAGTGTTGCCTAGGCTTTGTTGTCACATTTAGTGGACACGAGAAGCAGAAATGTGTTTACATATGGGAATAAACCATAGATGGAATATGAAACATCTCACAAAATTAGTTTCTCATAAAGTTTTGAGCCTTTTATTCTACAGAGCCTGGCTTTGAGACTTGTAGATTTTATTTGCTTTAGTTTAGATAAGAGTTTTAAGGTAGCTGGTGAATGAACCCTTTGTTGAAATCTCTAGTGGAAGTGTTTGACATTGCTCTGTTGCTTTGACTTACCAGGCTTTAAGTTCTTAATTGTTTTATGTAGGATAAGTAATTCAGTATCTAATAATTCAAACTGCAGGTGTTTTTATTGAGAAATCTGAATAATATAAAGGCACTTTTGATATTTCCAGAAATGGAGAAAAACAGTATCAAAAGCCATACAGTTTTACTCATATTGAACCATTGAGGGGGAAAAAGCAAGGATTATAATTATAGAAGTGATTAAATGTGGCAAAGAAGTACTGTAAATCAAAGTATGTAATGGAACAGTTCTATAAAGAGGCTTTGATCCTCAGGTTATTATTTTCTGTTATTAAAATAAAGCATCAAATTTGTTTATGAAGTTTATAAACATAGCTGTGTGTACTTGAATAGTGAGTTTCCTGGTTTATTAGGAGATAAATAACTAATATGCTATACCTATCACTCTAAAAAGTCAAATAAGTAACTGGGATTTTGATAACTGGAAAACTGTCAGCAAATATTCAGTGTCTCTTTGACTTTGTTGTTTTTAAAGGGAACTTAGAAGCAAGAAAGCATGCACACACCCTGCCAGGCCAAGTGAGAGACATGTATTGTTGTGAGCATGTGTGAATAAAAAAGCAATTTTAATGATAAAATTACTGGATGCTGACAGCCTATGCAAACTCATATTAACTGTAAATTATATTTTTATACATTAGTATTGTCCATCTCTTTTTAAAAACAAAATCATGTGAATCTTTGACTTTTGGTGTTTGTGCATATTTGGTTATGTCTAGGTAGCTTCATCTGCTGATCCCTGGTAGGAGCAGCTGGAACTCTGTGGCTCCTGCCTTACTATTTATCAAGGACAGCTCCAGTGTACTTCTAGCAGAGCTGTCATCCTATTGCACGATGTGCCTGGAATCAGAAGTTAGCTCAGATAAGTCAGCATATTCTGGTTTGAATTGGGCAGGTGTGGATTAGATTTTACTGAATTCTGCTTTCCCTTGAGCCCTCTGACAGCCAAGATCTTCATTGTTGCTACAAGATTCATGTGTTTGATTTGTGCAAAACTTGATCGCGACCTTTTAGAACTGCCGCTTCTAAATCCTCCTTTCCAGCCTGACCCTTAGCAAGCTGTGAGCGTGGAATCACAGCATCGTGTCGTCTGATCAAATTCAGAATCTTTTCTTTAATGGATTTCTTCAGAAGCCGTGTTTGGAGAAGGGACCAGTTGAACAAAACAGTGTTTATTTTTATTTCTGTTCTCTTTTCAGGAGGAGATCTCATGGATCTCTGACTTTACAGCTCCATTATCATTTCATATGAAAGCAGGATCCTGACAATTCAGCTTTTATATCAGGTTATGGTGTTGCCATGACAAAATAGCTCAGGCTACAACAGCATGTTTTTTTGTGTTTTTTCTACACAGTAACTGTAGTTTTACTGTATATAAATTGCAATGAGTCTTTTGAGAAGACAGTAAATAATTACAGTAAGTGTTTGCTGGTCTCTGGGGTGCATTTCTGGTTTGAGAATGATGTGCATTAGGTCAGAGATCTTTGCTGCAGATAGCTGGAATGCATTTACACCATTTATCAAGCTGAAGTCATTTTATATCTTCCTTTTGGCTCTGGTTGCAAATAATGTATTTAGCAGGCTTTTTTAATATATAGACACATCAGTTTTCTATGGGACATCAATGGATTTTTTTTCTGTCTAAATTAGTGCAAAAGGCTACTTTTTTTTTTTAATTTGAAAAAAAAATTAGATTTTTGTGAGAGAAGAAAATGAATGAAAACATGTCAAAAGGCTCCATCCTCATTGTGGCTCTTTACCCTCTATAAAATCGGTTATTTAAAATTCTACTGACCAAAAACCTTGTTTTTCCTCCTAAGGAAAGTAAGCATAGTTGGAGTAGAAAGAGAGCTCTTTGGGAAAGTTGTTTTAGTGATAACTTTTTTCTAAGAAGATGTATATTGTCAATTTGTGTGAGCGAGTGGTTTATGGCAAAGGATTTTAGATGAGTAATGTATTTTTCCTTGCTTTTAAAAAGCAGATGTATTTTGGTT